AGGGGTACAGCAGGGGCGTTTACAGAGGCCGTCCATGTCACCCAAGCATGTTGGGAAGGGGGCTTAATTACGCTTAACGTTGGGCTAAATTTTAGATAGTGTTAGCGATGGATGGATTCAAAGTTCCTGTGACCTCTGACCTGAAGATATCTGAATGAAAATTGGTTCTGTGGGTACCCACAAGTCTCCCCTTTGCAGACATGCCCACTTTATTCCAATCCAATGCAGTTTTTATGGTATAAATGTATTCTTTTTTATCTAGTGTACTTGAATGTTTTTGGGGACCTTAGTCCCCAAGCAGTTTTCGAGTTGAATAAACTAGGAATGACTGGAAAGCTGGGACTTGATGCCACTCCTGCATAAGTCAGTGCCCCTCTTGTGCTACCCCAGCATTATTATAACCTAATACTAGCCAGTAACAGTCATTTAGGAGTAGTGTTATTTAGAAATGTAGACAGACTTATGCAGCAGGATGCATGAGAGGTTCAGTTCAGGCCTCCATAGTAGCTCACCTTCCCAAAACTCACAAAGGTGAGCGCTAACAGTGTCTCTCAGCAGCCACACAGACAAGCCTGCCTGCAGATGTGTCTGCAGACATTTTCTGTTTATTGACCTTGTGAGTGCAGACATTATTATTAACTCAAAATGCCAGATGCCTAATGAATCTGTTTATCTATGGTAAACAGCACATCCCTCTTAAAGTGGAGTAGAGGTAGAAAGTGGCATAAAAAGAAAATACTGTTCTTGTCATTCCAACTCCCATCTGAACACAACAGCTTCCACGCAGTGAATATTCAGTTTATTAACGGCTTTATAAGATCAGATCAGAGGTCAGCGTTGTGTTCAGTGCTGCGTGAAACTCGTGACAGATTTGTCTTAATGGCCTTCAGACAGTCAAGAAGTCCTGAATGTAACATGAAGTGATTCATCTTGCCCGGCCCCTGATTACTCACATCCATGAGAATATGCAAAAGTAAATGTATTTCAGGTTATGTACTTTTATGTAAATCATATCAGAGATTTCCCAGATGTAATCTGCAGAAATGTACGTTGCCCCCAAAAATTTTAAAAATATATGAAATACATTTCAAAACCTCCAACTGCGGAGCCTCGACTTAATTTAATGGAGCTCGAGTGGTTTCTAGTGAATCAGCCTATCTGTCAGTCAACTGCAGCTTCAAAGAAACACACACACACACACACACACAGTCAACTACCAAAACACTCTAATCTTAATCAAAAAGACCAAATTTCACACTGATTTCTCTCACTCAGTCACTCAAATTCAAACTCACGATAAGTGACAATATTTTGGTCCAATAACAAGTTTCTAATCACACTGCTGTAACACTGAAACAATGACACATCAGTTTCTATAAATAATATACAGACAGAATACATGATGTTGAGAACAATAATTGAGTAACTTGGAAGTTATCCTTTATTGACAACCGCAGGGAGATTCATTATCTGCATTTAACCCAGCTTAAGTATTAGGAGCAGTGGACAGCTGGGAACCAACTCTGAAAACCAGTGTGGCATCATTGCAGTCAGCTTCAGGAGGTTTCTACTGGGAGCCCAACTATCCACAGATAGTCTAGAGTTAAAAAGAGCACGGCAAAGATCCTAAACAGATGGCATGGTAAAAATGTTGGCTTCAGACTGAATAAACAGTCAATGTATGACAGCTTCTAGCAGACAACCACAACACATGCACAAAGGGGATATGACACCATGTTGACAGCCATGTTTCTACAGTAGCCTAGATGAGACAAGCTGAACGCTGGTTGTAGAAGGGCCTTTTGCATTTTTGCAAGATTCATCGTCAAATTAAGACACGAGCAGTGTTCATTTAGTTGCAATCTGCAACTTTACCACTAGATGCCTCTTAATCCTACACACTGGATCTTTTAATACACATGTTAAAGTAAATTCTTGGAAAACATTACAAGTGCATGAATAATAATTTCAAGAGCAGAAGACTGAAATATGCTCTCTGGTTCTTGATTAACAATATGAGGACATCTACAGTGATAAGGAGTCAGTCTGTTCGCTTTAACTTGTTGATAAAAAATAGCTGGATCAGTTTTTTCCAGGATCATATTTCAGAGAGAGAATGATAGAAGAGGAAACAACTGCAGAGAGCAGACTGATGAAACCAAACCTCCCACATGTAATCAATGCAAACAACACCTTTTATTACACTGCTGCTCCTGCAAAGTGTATCCATTGAAAACCACTCTCTGATCAAAGCTGCTCAAAACACCTGCACTGATCGAATACACTCAACTAAAGCTAATATATTATTCATTAGTTTATACCTGTAATTGATTAATTATTAACACCCCTGTGCACAAGACTGCAGATATCGTATTGTGTAATATGGGACTACTTCATGGAGAAATAGACAGTGGTGGAAGGTAACAAAGTACAATTACTATTTCCTTTACTCTTATATCTTATAAAATACATTTCAGACTGGGGAAATGTCACAGCTCAATTTGTTACTGGTTTTGCCCTTTTCACAAAACAAAATCAGCAGACTTGAAAAGTTTAAAAAGGTAAAACGTATGTATTTAACTTTCATAAGACAAGACAAGACAGGAAGAACCTTGTGCTCCCAAGGTCGTGTCCTTTCCATTTATTAGAATAATCTATTTTTACACTCCTTTCTACTTCTCTTATCTCTTTTATGGGTTCTATAATGAACTGCAGCCCTGTAATGAACTGAATTAACCTGGATAACCTCCAACACACACATTATTCTTTCCAAACCAAACTGAGATGATGAATTATTTGGTTTTGAAACAGGCACCACAAACAGCCCAGTGTCTGTATTTACCCCCTCCTTCCTCGTCTCTCTCTCCCTGTCTGTCTCTATCTCTCTCCACCACCTGGCCGACAAGCACTTTGGCCTTCTCCTGTGATGTCCTTCGTCTGCTGATTCAGGCTTCACACAGGTTCCAGTCTAAATATAGACCTGGTCCACACACACACACACACACGCACACGCACACACACACACGTTAGGGTTCAAGACTTGAGCCGGCTGTCTGGAAATGAGCATGATGTGTTCAAATGCAAATCAGGAGCTCATCTACTGTTGTTTAAGCCGGAAATAATTAAAGCAGCAGACAGGAAGGAGGTTGTGCTTCAAAATAAAGGTCAGGAGGCCAGGGAGTCATTTACCTTGAACTAAGATATCAGAATTCATCTACCTCTGAGACACATATCAGGTGCTCTCACTGAAACCGATGGAGGTCAAAGGTCAGTGTCTTGCTCAAGGACACTTTCAAGTCATTTATCACCTGTACATCTGAGTGCCTCAGTTTTGTTCATGGGAGCTTCATAATTGTTTTTTTTCTTGACTTCATTGGTTAGGTTGATTAGATTTTGTTTGCCTATTCTGGAATTCTGGGTAATGTTATTCTTATAAGTGAGTGAACTCCAAAGTCAGTTAACACACGCATGAATTATGTTGCGCTCTCTGTGCAATACCAGAGGGTAGAAATGAATCTACAGCTGCAGCACAACACGGTTTTCTTATCGATGTCTCTGTTTCCACATTATTAAATAACAATATGGTTCTGTCCTAAATATAGAAGCCAGTCCACTCCCTGAGAGACCAAAGTCTCTACAGAATCTGAGATAGCGGCGACCTGCAGGAAGCCCCGAAGCAGACGGACAGACGGAGCTGACAGCTGACTGGGCGGCTGTCAAATCAGCTTCACTTCCAAAGGCTTCAACAGGAAGGAGGAAGGAGGGGGAGATGATAATACTGACAGGTAGAGAAGAGAGAAAGAGAGAGAGGAAGTAGAGGCAGAAAGGACAAATAAAGAA